GAATATCTCCTCAGATTTTGGGGGATTTCGTTGTTCGACCCCTTCCGAAGGTCGGAGAAGCTCGGGGATGGGACCAATCGATCCGCAGGACCCAAATTAGTCCAGACCGAACCACTTTCTAAGTCGCTCCGACCTTCACAAAAAAAGTTATTTTAGAATATCTCCTTCTCCTATGTGCTTTCATCCCTTATCCTAACCCTAACCCCCTAACACCCTAACCCTAACCCTTTTCACCGTTTATACCCTTCCAAAGGTCGTAGAGACCCGGGGATGGTACCAATCGATCGGGAATACCCGATAAGGTAGAGAGAGCCTACTTTTAAGTCTCTAGGACCTTCAGAACAAAAGTTATTCAAGAAGGGCCTGTGAGCTTTTTCTCAATTTCACCATTCGACCCCTTCCGAAGGTCGTAGAGACGTGGGGGTGGTACCATTCGATCGGGAATACCCGAATTAGTGGAGGCGGAGCCAACTTTGAAGTCTCTAAGACCTTCAGAAAAATAGTTATTCAAGAAGGTTATCATCCTGTATCTTAACCCTAACCCCAACCCTAACCCCTAACCCTATCTCAGGGACCAAAGGTCGTGGCTTCCAAGCACTGCCACCAACAGAAAGAGCACCCCTGAAAATGGGGTGGTAGCCAAAGTCCCGAGTCTCTGGCACCCCGGGAAATAGCGTGTCCACAGAGCCGGACGCGGACACGCTTGGCTATTATCCCCTTACCCTAACCCTAACTTATTAAAGTTTTAAAAAATCGGTAAAACTCATCTTCACTTTTAAAAGACGGATGTCCAAAAGAAAAAAGAGAAATAACACTTTCTGAAATACATACAATGAAAGAATAAAAATACTGGCAAAAGTTACTTTAAAAAGATGGAGGTCCAAAACAAAAAAGAAAAAACTTCTCTACGACCTTCACAAAAAAAGTTATTCAAAAAAGGCCCATTATAGCCCCCTGGTTTTTATCATTTACCCCCTTCCGAAGGTCGTAGAGACTCGAGGATGGTACCAATTGACCAGGAATACCCGAATTAGTATAGACGTAGCCTACTTTGAAGTCTCTACAACCTTCAGAGCAAAAGTTATTCAAGAAGGGCCCATCTCAGTGTGGTTATCATCCTGTATCCTAATCCCTAATCCAAGCACCTGTGATTTATTCACACACATAAATAGACAAATGACAATCACAGTTACCCAAAAATTGGTTACCTCAATAAGGATGGTGGGGGATAGACCACTATACAAAACGGGAGGCAACAAGGCCATCCCCGTAACTAGGACCAGGGACCATCATCCTGAGAGAAGGACTGAGCACCTCCCGCGACCTTTCACAGAAGATGGGCTCAGATCCATTACCCCAACAGTTTCATCTTTGGATTAACATTCACAAGGGACAGGGCATATGAAGACTAGTACCTCTTTGTGGTCACAGGAAGGCCTCTCAAGCTTGTACAGGGCACCATCTCCTCATTCACAGCCTGAACATCCTGAAAAGGTGGCTCCTTCAATTCTCCCTCCTCTTTTGCCTGAGTGGTGGGACCACAGTAAGTGAGAGAAGCCTGTCCAGGCTAAACTCCGCCCCAAACGGGACTGTCAACTCTGCCTCCCCCTGCTGCCTTAAGAGAGGTGAGGAGAGGGACTTTTTTTTAATTATTTATCATTTATTATTCTGGTATTTTTTTCAAGGTGTTGACCTCAAGTAATTTTTTAATATTTTATCTAGTGTCAAAGGGAGTCTCAGATCTTGGGTTAGTTCTGGCTACAGCCATGAACAGAACCTGTTGGTTCCATTCTTTGACCTTCAGCTTTGAACATTGTCCCGTCTTATCATCACTTTCATCCCCTTTTGTATTAGTGAAAATACAACAAACTTTACAGTTATTGAAACTAGAAAAACCAGGAACTATACAATCAATGGTTGAGGTCAATATGAATATTTATCTAAAAACCTTAAGACAAATGGACTCATATTTAAGAAACAACTTTTTACATTTTATTGTAAAGGTTTGAGGTCAGAATAAATTTGACAATCCAACTACACAAGGAATATGTAGAGGTATATGTCCCTTGTCTAGCAGATCTTGTGGCAATTTCTATTAATCAAGCACAAAGTCAACACTTCTTTCTTTTTTTTAATTCAGCATCTGCAGATGGACTCACAGTACACATTATTATCCACAGCCCCCTTCCATTGCGAATGTATTACTCTCCTGATGTCATCTTATCAGTGTGGAAGACATCCTGTCTTCCCATTTCTGAGGACAACCCTGGAGTGACTACCCCGGCTGTGAGATCCCAACCATATACAGAGAGATACATACAGTTAAAATCTATGAGCAATAGATTGTAAACCTAAATTTGCCATTTTAGATCTGGGCAATCTTCCACACACTCATCTGCTCGTTCAATATCACATACACAAATGACAACATTTTCATGACAATCTGTTATGAGATGTCCTTCTCATTCAGTTAATTCAGGAATCTTGAATCTAGTCTTCTCATCCACTGTTCTGTTCTTCTTGTCCGGTAGGTTAGGATTTTTCCTATAAGCCAATATTACTTTGAATTTCTCTCCCAGTCTCTTGAAAATTAATTTTGATTCTTAAGTTGGCCTGTGTAGAAAATTTAGAGTACACTAAGTTCAAGGAGATCAGCTGGAACATATCCTTTCAAATCCCAGTAATTGAAATTCCTGGAAAGACATATTTTGGGTGGAAGCTCTGTTTGTGCAACAGAACATGTGTATCTGTTGGTTTGAAGTACACTTTTGTGTGTGGATACTCCTTTGTAGACAGTACTATCCAGAGAGTTTACCTTAGTGTCACTTGTTTCTGGTTCCACCTCGACGAAGTTGTGGTGGTTGTTACGGGTGTTTACAAAGGTTCGGAAGTCTTCTTTGGAGTGGGTCCAGATTCCCCAGATATCATCAACATATCTCAAGTATTGTGTTGGGATTTTGTTGCACTTCTGGAAGGCAGTCTCCTCCCAATCTGCCATGTATATGTTTGCATATGCTGGGGAAAATCGTTTGCCCATCACTGTCTCTTACTTGAAGGAAATATTGTCCATTAAACTGGAAGTCATTCCTGGTTTGACTTAAATATAGAAGATGCAGAATTTCTTGGTCCAGAATCAGCTGAGTCCCAGGTCTCAGGTCAGGATCAGCTGCTCCAGGTCCTGGTCCTGGTCCTGTTGTTCCTGTGGCAGCTGCATTCTCTGCCTCTCCAGCAGGGACACTAGACAATCTCTCTGCTGCACCACCTCCAACATCTGCTCCAGCATCACATGCTCCTCAAACAGCTGCTGCGCCCCCTTCAGATGGTCTGAGGAACAGCAGCAGCACCATACAACACAACACACACAAAATATCAACACACACAAAACAACACAGCAACACACAAAAAAACAACAACATCAACATGAAACAACACACACAAAATAACAACACACACAATGTGTCTTACAATATCAGAAACTTTCAAATTATCTTATCAAGTATACAAAGAAATCTTACTTTACACTTAATTTAAAGTAAACTTATCAAAAACTAAGAAATACATTTGAACAAATCCAATCTGACTTAAAGGGGATATGTGAGAGTGGAGAGCTTTGATGGCATGCGTCGGCCAGTGTTTTGCCTTTGGCTCCCAGTTCAACTGCTCAGTTATCAGATCAAGCAGGGGAGTCATCCAGATAATTCAACTAACCCTAACCCCTAACCAAACAACGCAATACATCAAACACACACGAAAACTCAACACAGCAACATCACATCGACAACAACTCAGCACAAAAATGACAACACAAACAAAATAACAACAAATCAATACACACAGACATTTTATATTTTTATTTAACTTTGAAATATTTAGTAAAATAGGAAAAAGTAAATTTACCATCAACAGCCATTTTGTCTCTGAGCTCCTGCTGCAAACGACTCTGACGATCCTCCAGCTCCAGCTCCCGAGCACTGAAACACAGGTCACAGGTCAACCTCTGGTGACCCTAAACCACACCACAGGTCAACCTCTGGTGACCCTGAACCACACCACAGGTCAGATACTCACAATATGAGGAGCTCAGATTCATATCGAAGCAAAGAATTCTTCTGCTGAACGAGCTGGAACCACTGATGCATCAGAACCGGGTTCTCCACACGACCCAGCCCTGAGAGACAGACAGGCCAGAGACACAGACAGCAAGTATGGAAGAGACAGAAAGTTCAGAAAGACAGACAGGTCAGAAACACAGACAAGTAAACATAGTATATATATTGGTTCGAGATGAAGGTCAATGTGTTGACAGTCGATAGTCTCCACAGTAATCTCGTAAGCAAAGTGTATACGTGTGTGTGTGTATATAAACAGTGCATATTTATAGATGTTAAGTATATATATGTGTGTGTGTGTGTGTGTGTGTGTGTGTGTTAGAGTGTGTTAGAGAGTGTGTGTGTGTGTACCAGCTTCTCCTCTCAGAGATTTCTCCACCATCACTCCTTTCTCCTCCAGTTCTCTTTGTTTCTGTTCAACCTGCTGAAGATGTCTCTGGATCATCTGAAACACAAACAACTTTATACACAACAAAATCATCACAACTTTACCACACAGGGACGTCTCTGTCGTCAGTTGAACCTCGCATCGTCAGGGGAACGTCTCTGTATTCAGGTAAACTCACCTGAGCTTTGTGAAGTCTCTTCTGTTGTTCCTGTTTCGCTTGCCGTCGAGCGGCTCTCTGAACGCCTCTGGTGATTTTCGTGTCCAGGTCTTCGTCTTCATCCTCTGGCCCTCTGTGGAACATGGCCTCCTTCACGCTCAGACTGGACAGCTCCTTTGGCTCAACTATGACCCCTACAACCTCAGTGCGACAAGAGGACTGTCCGTCAGAGTCCTGCAGGGGGAGTCTGTCCCTCCCAGAGTGTCTCTGGAACAACACAAACATCAGTGTGACTTCCCCACAGATGAGTGGACATACACCTGGACGTTAGAAACGCCCTCTGGAACAACATGTATCATTACCTTGATGGCATATGATCGTTTGAAAGCCAGAGCATGTGGAACATATAACGGCTGAGACCCAAGAATATGAAACAAAAAAACAAAACCAGTCAAAGTGTTTTAAAGGGTAAGGGTTAGCATAACATGTATATATCACAACACCTGTCAATCAAAACATGTAACGATAACATGTATACATCACAACACCTGTCAATCATACTATTGATCACATCAATCAAATTCTTATGCACCTCCTGTTCCTCCTCCTCTTCCGTTATTGTGACTCTGTGGATTTCAGATGTGAGGTCCAACAGCCCTAGACACAGCTACACACAACAGACATCAAATTATTGTATTCTGATTGGTTGTACTCTGATTGGTTGTACTCTGATTGGTTGGTTACTTACATTGTTGCTGGGTTTTAGCGAACATCGTTGCAACAGCGTTGATGATTCCAGATTTGACTCTTCTGTCAGACTTCCTCTCACATCTGGAGACAGGAAGTAAGCTTATTACATCATCACAAAGACCACCCTCTTTCTGAATGTGTGTTTCTAACATCATCACCTGTAGCTCTCCTCTGATTGGCTGTAACCTTCTTTGTCTTTAATGGAGGTGAAGTCCTGCACCTCTTCTTCTCCTTCTTGTTTCCGGAGAACACAGCCCTCCACAGAGCTCTGGCTCCACCACCTTCCACCTCCACCTGTCCAGGGTACGGAGCCTCCTTGAGCCCCTTCAGCTGAAGGAGGCCCTGCAAAGGGAGGGGGAGGTGATGTCTCCTCCTCCCCCTCTCTGTCTCTACCTCTTCCTCAAACCCCGCCCCTACATGTTGTGACCACACCCATGTTTCGTATTGAGGGAGGAGTTTCTTCAGTGGTAGTTCAGGGCTGATGTCATCGAAGGAACACCACTGTCGGGAAGCACGTTGCTGACTGGCTGTTTCCATGGCGACCAAAGTGTCTTTGCCCTCATGGTGGGTGGAGTCAGGTATGGTGATGAAAGAGGCGGTGGAGGGCGTTGTACCAGGGAGCAGAGTCAATGATGAACGTGTGGAGTCAGGCTGCACAGGTGTTGCAGACCCTGTGATGTCACTTCCTGCCACTGATAAGACACTCTGAGGGACGAGATGAGAAAACTCCTCCCCTGAGATGGGAAGGGGGCGGGGTGATTAATGATAAATATTTAGATTTATTCATATTTAATTATTAACAGACACACAGAATATAAAACCAGAAGAATGATCAATACAAGTAAATATGTATCTAGTTACAAGTTCAATTCAGATTAAAGTCAAGATTAAGTCAAATTAGATTTTTTTTTAATGGAGTTTGGTTCAGACCCGTTTCCACACACGTGTACTCACCCTCCACCAGCAGGGGGAGACATACACAACACACACAGAAAAAAAGGACTCAAAAGGACAGAAGTGAAACTCACTGTTGTCCACCTCACTGCCTTCATCATAATCCTCCTCTTCATCCTTGTTTCTCCTGAGGAGTTGATGCAGAGTTTCCCTCCATGAAGCTCTGACCACTGAGGTCACATGACCTCCTCGTTCCTCCTCTTCCTCCTCACTCCCAGACACTGAACTGAAAACACAAATACAGAGAGGAAGAGGAAAAAGATGAAGAGCAGGAAGATGAAGAGAATGAGGAGAAGGAGATGAAGAGCAGGATAATAAAGAGCAAGAGCAGAAGGAAGATGACGAGCAGGAAGATGAAGAGTAGGAGGACGACGAAGTTGAAGGGCAGGAAGATGAAGAGCTAAAATGCCATTAATGGAAAATCAATTGTGTCAGTAAATGACAAACTTTGGAAAATATTTTTAATATAACAGGTGAAAGTTTAGTTTGATTCTACTTTAAATCAAAAACTGTTTAAAGGCTGTTGTCTCTGACCTCACTTCCTGTTTTTGCTCTTGGTTCAGGTTGAACTGGTTCAACGTCTCCTCTGAGATCTCATGTAGCTCCGCCTCCTCACACAACCCCGCCTCGGTTGAGCTTTGTCTGCAGTTTTCGAGCTTGATTCTCTCAGGTGTCACCACCATCACAGAAACTTCTGCAAACACGCCAGCATGGCCGCACACACACACACACACACACACATACAGAGACACACACACACTAAAGCACAATGATTCCAGAGTGAGGCCCTGAGAGAACAGCTGAGAAATCAAGAAGAAATCTACAGACGACCACGCAGGTGACGACCACTCACCTGACGAACGGCGGCGCTCTGCCCAGTCCTGACAGTCAGAGGAGGGGAGGGAGGGGCCTGAGCCCAGAGACACCTGTCAACAAAACAAACACACCCCTTGAATAAATTTATTCATCAAGACACATCCACTGATGAAAAGTATGTGTATATATATATATATATATATATATATATGGTCTCCACACTGGCATTCACAGGTGTGTGTGTGTGTTTGTGTGTTCCTGCTGGTCTCTTTCCCTCTTCACATGAACTGATAATCACATGTATTTAGTTATTAATCGATGGTGTCAGATCATGACTCTGGATCGTTCCAATCACTTTACCCTAATTTCCTGAGTGTGTCACATTATTTCTTGTGTTGTGTAGCAGGTTTAAACATGGTTATAATAAACTCTAGAGAATAAAACAAACAAAGTAAACATCACTCTTGTACGTGTCCTAATAACTTGTGATCAGTGATGGTGTTTATTGTTAGACTGTAAAGTGAGCGCAGGTCAGAGGAAGAAACAGACTTCGACAGAGACTCTGACACAGACTGGACCTTTAATGAGTGCCTGTCCTGAAGCAGCTGTGTTATAATTATTCAGTGGTGGGAAGTCGCTAAAACAATGAGCATAGCAGAAAACATGAATTGATTATGTTCAGTCACTGTATCGATGCAGAGTCATCCAAGTCTGCATCACGATGCATCTAAGAATCGAGACATTTCCACACATCTAAATAAGTAAAGAGATAAATTAAGTTAAAACACTTTTGAATATTTTTGTTGTTAATATGTCATGTTAATATAAAAAGTAGGTTAAAACACTTTTTATAGTGAACATTTAGTCATTCTAACATGTTTAAGTTTTTTTAACTTTCATTTGTTCACAGTGTCAACTTCGTTCATCACTTAACATTAGCTCAGAAATCATTGTGTGTTCTTACCACAGATGTTCGCTGTGAAGCTGATCTGTCGGATGCCGTCGGCCTCCTCCTCACCGTGGTGGTGCTCAGACAACAGTCAGAGTGATGGAGACAGAAAAACTTCCCTGAGACAGTGAATGCAGTGTTAGGATGGATGTCCACGCAGTAACACCTGATCTGTGGTTTTTACATCAATGTTCAAATTGTTCCCACCTCACACTTCAAATCCTTATTTTGTGGCCACTCAAAGCTTCAACCAAAGATCTGGTTTATCGCGAAGCTCAAACACAATACACATATTGTACATAAATCTACACACACACACACACACGTGTGTACTTCAATCTTAGACAGGACACTCATTAGCATAATGCATCTCCCATTAGGGTTTTATTTAAGTATTTCAAACTAAAATACAAACCGTGAAGAAATATTTGCAGGTTTGTGTGAACAATGACATGCTCTGAGCAGTAAAACTAACCAGCGTGTTGGTCGAAGGCGTACGCAGACAGTCTGAGCGAACTGCTGCAGAAATCACACTGGAAACAGCTGCGATGGAAAAACAAGCCCTCAGCGCTCAGACGCTCCATCACGTAGACTCTCTGCTGGCAGAAGAAACAGACATTGCTGCAGCAGGCAGGAAACTGAAGAGACGAAAAACAAGAACAAAAGAAACACGTCAGTGGAAATTGAAGATAAGACGGATGTGTTTACTGTTGTTCTCAATATTTGAATCATAGACACATAATCAGCTGATTTCTCTGACGTTAGATTCAAGAACATCTATCCTCTTCTCAACAACTCGTCCCTCAACATTACATCGATTAATATTTACCATAATCACATTATTAATTTGACTTGATTAAATCCTCCTGGAATTCACTTTATTTTAATTAATTTTAGTCATTGGATTTCTTTCACTTGTTTTAAACAATAAACTATAACTACAGATGTGATTATCTTTTTATCTGAGGGGCTGGAAAAAGTTATTTGATGTTATTTATGAATATGAATGATATTGATCAGATGGTGTTGGAGCTTGTCATAACACAAACACAAGTGACAATTGTGGGGTTCCTCAAGGCTCCATCCTCAGCCCACTGCTGTTCTCAATATAAACAGTCATTCAGAAACTGTTGCTGTGTTTCTGTTCAGGGGCCTCATCCTCCATTTGAAGATCAACTGCATCACAGCAGCAGAACCGGTCTGTCTCATTCTCAAATGTGTCCTTTCATCCCCACGATAAGAAGGAGTGGATTCTTCATGGCCCAACCTCTCCCAGGATTCATTGCAAGTGATGTTTGTCTTTAGAAGAGGTATTGGCAGCGGCAAGCAACGGTTGTTGGATTAAAACGACGTCTCACCTAGACTCGGGTCAATGATGTAAATCTTCAGTCCTTCTGAGGGCGAAAACATGAATCTTGGATTTGTGAGGAATCAGATTCCCTGTTAAATCTGATAATTTTACCGAAAAACGTCTGAGTCTGCTGAGATATTTGTACAAACTTTATAAACGAGGAGGAAGTGATGTGGTCGTTCCTGGTCTTGTTGTGAGGTTGTCGTAATGCCATGAGTTTATATTTTTGGATTTGGGTTGGAAACACATCAGCAGTGTTGAGCTTCAGGTTGATCTCAACTCATCTCTGATATAAAACTTATCATATGCAGATTCATCATGACAACTTTCTGCCCTGAAGATTCGACAATAAAACACAAACAACCGTGACACGCCCACTGGTCCAGGTCAGAGTATGTTGTTCGCACCTGGTGACAAACACAACACAGACACCCAGAATGCACTGCAGCATGGTACCTGCTCGTCCCTGCTGAGGGCGCTCTGACACTTGATCTTCTCTTTGAAGCGGAAACTCATCTGCTCCTGTTGAAGAGTTCGTTTTCTCTGTGGAGACAAACAGATTCATACAAGGATCATCAGAGAATTTAAAATCGATATGTCATATACAATCATCCTAAAATGCTGAAATCACAAATCATATAAAATCATTAAAATTTGAGATAAAATTTGAGATATGTTTAGTTTCATACATTGAACATTGGCTGGTCATGTAAAACATGTTCTACATGTTGATGGTGATAATGACCTCTTTCCTTGATGACATCACAGAAGCAGTATGGAGGTTTTTTCAGTTGTATTATTACGTTTGAAGAACCACTCACTAGTTACTTCAGTTGTTTGTATTCTGCTCCAACACTTTTAACCCCTGAAACTCCAGAAGTGTTTTTTGGACTCAAACACTTCATTACCCCCCCCCCCCCCCAACTCCGAACAGTTTTTTGTGTCATTTTTTCTTCTGCTATTGTTTTATATAAAAAGTGAATTTTGATAAATCTTCATCCTTCTCGTCTGCTCCGAGGCTTTACCGGTCTCCATGATGTCGGCTGGGCAGCAGCGTCCGCAGACTCTGAGGCTGGATGGACACTGGACAACACCTCCCCCTGTTGGTCAACAACAGAAATGACAGAAACACTGAGGCATTCATTTTAATTACATTTCTGAGTTCTGCCGAAACAAACTGTCCATAAAGGTCATTAAAGGAACATTCCAAAACTATCAGCCAATCAAGAAATATTGTTGCTGTTGACGACGACCCAACGTCACTTAATTATTGATCGGAAGTGTCTCTAAACTCACCTGTTGACGTGAAGCAGAAGAAGACAAAGTCTGGTCCAGCTTTGCTTGGAGCTGATTGGCCATCAGACGAACTCTGGATCCAGTGGACCCGCCCAAAGACGTGTTATCACACACCTGTCTGTCGACGCCCACGTTAGGGTTACATGACTTGAGAGCAGAAAAGGAAACATCAAATTCCCTCTTTTAAAAATGCTCTGAAGGTGTAGACCATCACAGGAGATCTCTCCAAATTTGGTACGAACGGACCACCTGAAAACATAGCACCTCCAGCCATAATTGTGTGGAAGAAGAACTCTAACACTGACCTCCTGCTGCTCTTGACTCAGTCCACTGGTCTTCCTCCTTTTACCTGCAGCATCTCTGAGCTCCTGTTGACACAGAGGCTGCATTCAGCTGAATGTTAAACACTGCTAATTAAGTTATAAACATTCAAACAGACTGACAGAACCTTTGGGTTCGATTTCCTGGTCAGACTGTTTCCGAGTCGACTGAGGAGGGAGGCAGGAGTGACGAGTGCTAACCTCACATCTGAGCTCCGACTCAAACATCCTGAAACAAACATAACATTTACTGACATGTTGAAAAATAACATTTAGAATATAAGATGTTAATAATGGTAGCACCAACAATTCATATAATAACAACAACAATAACAATAATGTAAGTTGGATGTTCATTTTAACGTGTCCTAGTTTAATTCTGTCTCACCAGCAGGGGGCGGTGAATCTTTGAGCAGCTGGTAGAACTGACTCAGGTACACGACCATAGAGAGAGAGTCCGGTTCTCCGACTGACAACATTTCTTCCACCGTCATCGGAGGAGGAATCCCCAATTCTTGTTCTGCGACATCAAAACCCAGACGAGTGTTTTCTTCTGCCAACGACTCATCGAGAGCGTCAAAGTCTCTGAGGACAAACAGGAAGTAAATCAGCATTCAGTAAATGATGGCAAAGGATCAATTAACCAATAAATGTAGTGCTTTAAGGAGTTATTATTAATTATCCCTACATGAGATCGGGTCGACATCGGTGGATGACAGCACACACAGCAAGGCCACTCTTCCAAGAAGTAGTCAGGTCAGTCACAGCTACACCACGGTAACCATGCGTCTGCTCCTGACACCACATTAGCAGCTGATTGGTCTGAGGCGCGGACTCTGTCAGATGGCAACGAGACACAGGACCAATCAGAATAAACTGCATAAAAATACGAGAGGACCAATTAAATCAAATCTACAGGCAGGCTGGAGGAGTTAGTGGGAAGTGGGATGAGTTTGTTGCTGAATGGGAGGGAGTTGTTTTTGAGGGGGTGTTATCTTAAGGTAGGAGGGGTTAAGGGACGTCACCCTCTCTGAGCATCCTGGGCAAAGGCAGACGGATGATGTCACCACAGTTTGTTTTTAGCGCCACCTCTTCTCCAGTGTCCAGCAAATGTCTCACCTGAAAACACATCATCCAATGATGTGATTGGTTGGGTGACTGATGGGTGTGTGGGTGTATGTGTGTGTGTGTGTGTGTGTGTGTGTGTGTGTGTGTGTGTACCTGATCAGGTGTGATGCGGTGTGTGTTGACGTAGCGTGTCGTTGGATCCACAGAGAACAAACTGATGTTCTTCTGCATGTTCTCTGGAGTCGTCTGAGGGAGGAGACGATACAAACTCTCTCTGAAAGACAAGAGACATTACGAAGTGAGAGTGTGGTGTCCAGGTGTGTGTATGTGTGTGTGTGTTTGTGTGCTGTCGAGGTGCGTGTGTGTGTGTGGTGTCCAGGTATGTCCTTTCACCTCTCAGCCAGGACGTCCAGCGGAGCTCCACCCTGAGACCAACTCCTGATCATCCAGGCTGAATCCAGAGCAGCGAGGAAACCACGAGCTACACCTGTTCCCATTGGCCAGAAGGGCTGAGGGGGGGCGGGGGCAGAAAGACAGAAAGGAGGGGTGGGGGGGTTAGAGAGAGACAGGGGGACAAAATACAGATTTACAAACTTTCTGTCCCTCCACCTGTCCCACCTCCAGCAGGCTGTCTCCCACCAATGTGACAAGCAGTTGGTGTCCCTGGCGTTGTCGGATCATGCCGGCGTTCTCAGATGCATACATGCAGGTGAAGTCAAACATGGCGACGTCCGGCTGACCATAGTGGTTCATGGCGAAGTCAAGAGACGGCAGCTGGTGATTGGTGGAGAAGTTGGCAGCCTCACAAGCGTACACCTGCAATGCATGATGGTCCACGTTCCCCCGTGAGAGCAGCTGCTTAGTGTCAGCAAAGTCCTGATGGAGGAAAAGATTTTCTCTTATTTCAGACCTGCCTGGTTTTAACGCTGATTCGTCTGACGCTTAAAGTTTAACTTAAAAAAAATAATAAAAAATTCAGATTTCCATTAGATTTGCTGGTTTTCAACACTTGATATTTGTGACGCCTCCAACTGGACGTGTCAGTCTTCACTGTGTTTTGTGTCCAGGTGACTTTTACCTGTAGAATGACTCCTTTCTCCAACAGACTCTGTTTCTTTGCTGTCATCACAAAGTAATGGGTATCGTCTTTGTAGTAGACAATGTTCTCCAGATCAATCCCTGAAACGTTCATTTGTGAGAACATTAACAGAAATCTATATCGTGAATTTAATAAAAACACAATAAAGCGTAAAGTAAAACAAACCCGTTTCCTGTCGAAGCTCCTGGAAGAACCTCTGGTTGAAGATGAAGGCGACTCCGCTGATCTCCTCCACTTTGGCCTCAGCACGGGTGTTTCTGTTTTTAAAGTTGGCAGTGATGGCGATGGCGAGTTTCCCTCTGAACTCTTTACGTCTGAAGCCTGTTAATCAATCAGAGGACAGAATCACCTTGACTCGACTTTGTTTGTCTCAGCTGAAAATTTTAAAACTTGACTCCTGTTTTTGTACCTGGCAGCGTATTCCTGCGTCCATCTGCTCCAACGATGACATCAAACTCCAGATGATTGACAGGATGACACTTTGGATTCACCTCCATCCTCCAGCCGATCTCTGGACAGGTGAGCAGGTGGAGAGGTGATTAGGTGAACAGGCAAACGGTTGAACAAGTGAACTCTGTATACAGATCACAAACGATTTATCTCATAATCAAAATAACTCCTCACTGCGTCTCTGGTCGTCCACCGGCTCCACCAGGTTCTTAAATTCCACATTGACGTGAACTTCAACTCCCAGCAGTAAGGCGACCTTAAGCAGGACCAATTGCAGCTGACGGATACCTGAAGAAAAACACAGGTGGTGCTGATGAGAGGATCCAGCTGCTGTGGTCAGACATGTGTAGCAGATCACTGACTCACTGATGTGGTCGATTGAGCTGGCGCAGAACTTTCCGTAGAACTTTTTGGCACCAAGGCCCCGCAGGTCATGGATGGTGAAGGGCCAAAGGTGGAGAACATTGTTCCTGGAGAATGAGTCTCTCTTCTCAAGCAGCACCACCCGAGCTCCCATGAAGCTCAGCTCCACTGCTGTCCTCAGACCGCATGGCCCAGCCCCAATAATCACACACTGACCAATCAGAGAGAGACACAGAAAACATTTTTGTTACATCTTTAGAAGATATGTCAACAACATATATAATGTCAATGACGTCTATAACAGCAATAACTTCTATTAACTGTACCGTTTTATTGCTGCAGACCCGGGCCCTCAGATACTCCTGCTGTGCGGCCCTTCGGTCCAGCTTGGCCCACAGAGCGTTGGCCCTCCAGTAATTGAGCCGGCATTTGATTGGTCGGTACAGCGGCCTCTCAGCGGTGCTGATGTCCATCTGCAGATGTTCACACAGCTGGCCGAAGGTTCGCAGCGCTGCCCTGCATGTCGTTGCCGACACAAACTCATCAAATAGCTCCTGAGCTCGATATTCTGGGTAAGGCTCGTCTCCCATGGTGACCCTGGAGGGAGCAGGGCACCATGGGAAGGGCGTCACCTGTTGATGATGTCACAGACGGACTCCAGCTCACCTCCTGCAAACGTTTTATGTTGTTTCATATTCTTTTATTGTGAGATCACAGTGGGGAGTTCCTCTGGGCTCCAGATTGGGGCCACCAGTGTCTGTGCTAATTAGTTGTTAGCTGACATTAGTTGTTAGCTGACATTAGCTGTTAGCTGACGATAACATTCATAAACACAATTAAGTAACCGGAGTGCATGAGCAGACTGTTAATAAAGATGGACGACATGACAGCTCCCAAAAGTAAAGACAAATCACCTCGATCACCCCCTGTTGGGAGTCTGCAGTATAGGCTACAAAGTCCTCCTCCGTGTTAGCAGATGGGACATAGGCCAAACTCAGCCATAAACCACATTAAAGTACACGTTCAAGAAATTTTATGGGACCCCCGATACCATGGCTCCACTCCATCATCATTACTGACTCTTCACACACACACACACACACACACACACACACACACACACACTAAGGTCGCCTGATCTCTCAACTGTACTCCCTCCAGCTACTTCGACATGCGTCAGGGTAGC